GAGGAGGGGGCGGGGGCAGCGGCGGCGGTAGCGGCGCTACCTGGGCGGGCTGAGGAGTGTGACGGGCCTCGGGGCCGCTGTGGATGGTTTCTAAAATGATCATTGAAAACTTCGAGGCACTCAAGTCCTGGCTCAGCAAGACTCTCGAGCCCATGTGAGTATCCGGGGGCTATTTCCTTGCAGGGATGGAAGTGGGAGATAGGTGGACACAACAGATGTGTGCAGTTTCCCCAGGTGCCTGCGGTGGAGGCCGAAGAGGTGAACGGAGGTCCCAGTGCTCTTGTGTTTTTTCCTCCTCTTCCACCCTCGCTCCAGGTTCAGGATACCCCTGGGAGCCCGAGCTGACCTTTTATCGCTGAATTGGTCCTTAAACCAATGTCTCTTCCTCTTGTTTTCCCGTTATATGTAGACCAACCCCAAACTACAACTCGAACTCGTATTTGCCGAGGGCCCTTAAGTCTTTTTTTTTTTGAAGTGAATCCGACCGTAATTTCCTGTCCACAGACCATTTTGCTTTGTTTCTTTAAATGAAGTGAATAGCCCTTATTAGGGATTAGGACAGTTCTAGTCTAAGCCACTCACGGTTTACCTAAATAAAATCCCTGAAAGAAAGGCCGTGTCTCCCATGTGCTATCTGGCTCATCAGCACCTCTCTTCACTGATTGAAGATGTAACAGGTGCTACGGTGCCCAGTAAAATTCCCTTTTCCCACCTACACGTTTGTTCGCTTGGAGGAAGAAAATACAGTCTGTCCATATGGAATATTTAGCAGTTTTAAGTAGGATTCTATAGGGGTGTGTGGGTGTTTTGATGGAGGGGGGTTCAGAGTGCTGAAATGTAATAAATGGGAAAAATTAAGGAGTGTTTTAAGGATTTATCTTTTAATATATACAAAATATATCATAGGCCAAGGGCTTTATCAAAATTGGTTGATTTACAGTAAACAGCTTAAAATGCAATGGGTAAAAATCCACTCACTTAAATTTTATTAAGTGCCTACTATGTACTTCGGGAGGCGTTGGGGCTAGAGCTTTTAAATTTCAAAGCCAGGAAGACATAGTAAGCAAGTAAATAAGATAACTTCAGGTAGTAAGAGTAATGATGGTTGTATAATAGAAGATCATGCAAAAGAGTCGTTAGAATGTCACTCACTTCAGAGGAGGTGACATTTGAGCAACACTGAAGGAGGAGAAGGAACTATCTGTGTGAAAGTCTGGAGAAATAATGTTCCTTTTAGAAGGAACAGCAAGCAAGTGCAAAGGCCATGTAGCGGAAATGATCCTGGTGTGTTCCAGGAATAGAAAGAAAGCAGTTGTGGCTGCAGAGAAACCTTACGATGAGGGAGAGAATGGCAGGATATGAAGTTGGAGAAGTAGGCAGAGGCCTGCATGCAGGATCTTCTAGGCCATGGTGAAGAGCTAGGATTTTGTTTGAAATATAATGGGAAGACATTAGATGATGTAAAGCAGACAAGGACTGATTTGTGATTTTGTTTTAACCTTGCCTGCTTTGTGGAGTTCAAAGGGGCAAGACTAGAAGTAAGGAGACCATTTTGAAGGGTGTTATAGGCAGAGATGTAGATAGTTTGCATTAGGGTGATAGTGGAGATGGTACTAAATATGTTTTATAAGTAGATGGGCTGGAACTAGGTGATGGATTGGACATGGGAGATAAGGCTAAGGGAAATCAATGGCGATGACTAAGAAGTTGGCCTAAGCAGCTGGATCGGTGATGGTAGAGAAGGCTTGGAGAGAGCAGGTTGAAGGGAGGAGAGTAGGATGGTTGATTTTGATGATCAAGGTGTTTTGTTATACATCTAAGTGAGATATCAAATAGGTAGGTGGGTTTGAATTTAGAACTGAAGCCAAAACTAGAAATATTTGGAGTCATACAGATAGTATTTAAAGCCTTGGATTGGGGGAGATTTCTGAGGAAGAATGTAAATAGGGAAGAGAAGAGGGGTCGAGGTCTGAGGTAGGAAGAAGATTGGGATAGATGTCACTAAAGAAGCAAATGTATGACAAAGAAGGTGGATTGTCAGCTTGATGGGATGCTGCGTAACGGATGAAGGAGGTGGTGGCAGATAAGTGGCCCCTGTTTGGTAAAGTAAAAATCATTGGTGGATTTAGTAAAAAGTTTCACTGGAGAGGGGTGGTGCAGATAGAAGCCGTATTTCAGTGGATTGAAGCAGTGGATTGGGCAACAGTGTAGTGTAGTGATTTAGAGGGGGCCTCTGGAGTCAGAATGGCTGGCTTTGGATTCTACCTCTGCCACTTACCAGCTATATACTGGGTAAATTACTTAGCTCAGTGCCTCTGCTTCCTCATGTCTAAACGGGGGAAACAATAAATATGTATTGAGAAAATCTTTGAACACTGCCTGGTTTGTAATTAGCAGTAAGTATTAAGTGAACAGAAAACTTAAAAGAATGTTTTAAGTTAAAATAGCATTCCTTTTTTTAAGCCTTCAGTTTACAAATTACTTACCAGCTATATTACCACTTCCTTTTTTTCACTAACCTAAGAGAAAATTATTTATAGCTTCTTAGTGTGTTTGCTTGTAATTTTTCTTTAGTTTTAATGAAGCATACTCAGGTATCCTGTAGCCTACTCAGACGACTGTAGCACTGCAGTCATTATTGCTGGAATAAAGCACTGCTTGCAGAGCCTAGACAGTGTGGTAGGAATTGGTTCTTTTATAATGCACACTGCTGATGTAAAATTGAACCCTTATCCAAGTTTGTCCCTTTAATTGCACTTCAGGTGAATTCTTTTAGATGACTTTTAAAACTGATTCTAATTATTTAAGATCTATGATTTCTTACCTTGGTTTTGTGAAACTTTAAGATGTGTTTGTTTAATCTAAAGAGTGTTTTTTCCTTTACTTTAAAACTGTAATTGCCCAATAGCACCTATTTGAGGCAGGACCATTTGAAGGACCAAGGGTAAAATGTAACTTGAAACCTGTGTAGAACTTTATAGCTATTTGTTCTAGTAAAGTATCTCACAGTTTTTGACTTGCACCATAATTTGAATGTATTAATTCAGCAAATATTTATTGAGCACTTAATCTACTCTGTGCTAAACAATTTCTCTTTTTAAAACTTTTTTTGGGGGGAGAGGTAATTAGGTTTATTTATTTTATTTATTTTTAGAGGAGGTACTGGGGATTGAACCCAGAACCTCCCACATGTTAAGCATACACTCTACCACTTGAGCTATACCCTCCCCAGCAATGTGTTAGTTGTTGGGGATAGTAGGAAACACAGCATGAGATGACTATCTTCATATTGTTTACCATTTAGCAGGGAAGACAGATAATGAACAAGTAATTATAAGACTAATGAGTGTTATGAATTCAGAATGCTGTCAGAATATACGTCTAGGAGTTCAGGAAAGACTTTCCTGGGTTGATAAAATTTTCATCGCAGCCGGGAAGGATGAAGAACAGTTTGCTGGGGCAAAGGATGGAAATGGAGAGCTGTGACAGCATTATAGGTTTTGGAGAGCAGATGGTATAAAGGCTAATGAAACAAAAGAGGTGTCTTGGAGGAACTGAAAGAAATTGAAAAAAGAACAAGGAAAGTATAGCAGTGAATAACTCTAGAGAGAGCAGCCAGATCACACGAGACTGTTGAGTCATGTTAAGGATTTGGGATGTCATTGAAGGATAGTGGGAAGCCAGAGAAGGGCTTTAGAGGTTTTAGGGGAGGAGTTTTCAGATTAATATTAAAAAAAAACAAAAAAACCCCAAAAACCAGCCTGGTTGCACTTTAGCATGAGTTGGTAAGTCTGTATTTCAGTTGTCTATAGTCGTCTATAGATATATCAGGATTCTGAGTTTTCTTTTTCTTAATTTACTGAAAGTATAGGTGTTAAGATTGTCATTTTTGAAATACTTAAGATTGATGTTTTGTTGTATCAAACTTTTGCTTAGTCTTACTTGCTAATAAATAAAATTAGATGTTGATTGTTCTAATATTAGTTTCTTTTTTATAATGTGAAGTCCTGGAAAAAATTAAACTAACTCTTTGATGTCCAATTTTTTTGTTTGTGTTTTTTAAACAAAAGATTTTCTGTTGTATTTTAAAATTTTTTATGGGTTTACACAGCACTAAATGTAGTGGTTTAATAAAATTAGGTGGTTTTTTGGTTGTATGTGTGTGTGTTTTGTTTTTGTTTTTGTTTTGTTTTTTCTTTTCTTTTCTTTACAGTGGTGGTACTGGGGATTGTACCCAGGACCTGGTGCATGTTAATGTGAAGCACACACTTTACCACTGAGCTATTATCAACCCTCCCCCAACCAATTATGGATTTTTTTTTTTTAGCTAAAGGGAAACCTCAAGATCTAATCAAACCCCTTGATTTTTCAGAAAATAAAATTGAAAGGCAGATAGGTTTAATGACATGCTCAGATTTTGTTGAGTTTAGTAGTAAAGAACAGAATGCCTAGTTTTGTGTTCCTGCTGCTATGTAGTGCTGTGGAGGTAGTGTTGTATAGTGGGAAGGAAACATTTTGTGTCAAGGTAGGCCGGTGTTCAAATCTTAGCTCTGCCACTTATGAACTGAGTAATCTAGGCAAATGAACTTCCCTTTTCCTTATAATAGGGAGAATTACACTTGTTTCTTTCTGTAGTTGAAAGTATTGAATGAAACATACTTTTAAGAGCCTAGCCCTTCTCTCCTTTCTTAAATGCTGGTTGACTAAACACAGATAGATTACATTACTATTATTGCTGTTGTTAACGTTTATATGATTGTTGTAAGTTTTTTACTACTTCCAATTCTATAAGGTAAATATTACCTCCATTTTGCAAGTGATGACACTGAGGCAGTGAAGCATGAGGTTAAGACACTTGCCCAGAGTCATAGCTCCTGCATGTGACTAAACAGTGATTTAAACTCAGGTTGTTGACTCTGGAGCTATGTTCTTTATTTACTACTACACAATATGGTGTATTCTTTCCTATTACTGTATATACTTTTTTACTATTACATTTTCATGGTAGTAGCTATTGTTATAAAGGAATGAAGTTCTAAAGCATCATGGTTATCAGTGCTTTAGACTTTAAAAAAGAAACTTCAGTTTCTGTAATCTTTTCCATGTCAGTCATACTTGTTACTATACCTTTGTTGCCACATTAAAATTTATTTT